CTTCTTGAGATTCTCTCCCTCCCTCTCCCTCTGTCCCTTCCTCCACTTGCATGTGCCCACTCTCTCGTCCTCAAATAAATAAAATAAATCTTAAAAAAAAAAAGAATTATTGGTAGTAGCAATAGGAAGGGAGTTTATAAAACTCATTGGATATGGGCAATCGAGAAAGTGAGCCATTGATACCCAACAAATCCAGAAGTCAGGAGTGGTTTTTACTCGTCTTATAATCCATTGTTTTCTTTTTCCTTTCTTCACCTCAGTCTAAGTAACACCTAGTTTCCACATGGCTATAGTCCTCACAACCATCTTCTTTATGAGAACACACTACATTCTTAAATAGCAGCTTCTCAGACACAAAGCCCTGGAACCCCAGCCAAAGACTTGCCTCCAGCTGATACTGAACACTGAACTGGGAGTTAGGAGGTCCAGGCTGCAGCTCCAGACTTGACAAGGGATTCATTCTGGTGGCTGGGGTTGGATAGACCAGCCTTCGGAGTAGCCTTTCTTAGAGTATGTTCTGCAGAATATTAATCCCAGAATATGCTTTCAGAGGGGAAAAATGCACAATTAAACTTGTTTGCACACATCTAAAGCTCCATTTCCCTTTTGAAGATCACAGAACTTTATTGGCACAGTAAAAGTCTTCCTTTTGGCACACAGTGCTGATACATCCCTCAGAACTAAGGAAAGACAAAAGTAGCTCCTAGCTAAACAGTAATCTGTGATTCTGGAATAAGGTGAGTGATCTAAACCAAAGCAGCAAAACAAGAAATAAAAGGCAAAGGGAGAAATTAAAACAAAAAACTATAATTAGATAATTAAAAGTAAAGGCGGGTCATTTGAGATTACAATGAGATACACGAACTTGATAGGAAGAGAGGGGTCAACACAGGCAGTCTATAATAAAATCTCAACACTGATCTCCCTGAGTCAACAGGGACCTCCAGCGGACCCTTTTCTCCTCTTAGTAATGAGGTCGTCTGAACCTGCTTAAGAAAAAGATGGCTGTACCTATGCTGCCACTTAGAGCTAAATTTTCGGATTTTGAATGGGTGCTCACATTCTCCCTAGAAATTGTTAACTCCAGGAAGAATAAAGCAAGATTGAAGTGTCCTTTCTAGATTGACTGACTGCCTCCAATTGAAACTGAGTTTCTAGGGTAAGTCAGAAATCAAATTTCCTTTGACTGTGGTCAAAATGAAACTTCCCTGAGTTCTTGGCAAATATTGAAAGCCTAAAAGAACACATTTTCTTACTCAGAAAATAAGTGCATAGAGAGTAAGTGCTTCAGCCACTGGGAGAAGGAGGAGATCATTCTTAAGTAAGAGATTATAAACTGTCTCAGAGTTACAAAGATCTCTGCATCAGTTGTTGAAAACATTCTCATACCTACTGATTCATTTGGTCATCGTGAATGCCCTCTGGCATTTGTTTGTTTTTCCTAGTGTTCAACAGATGACTACAGCAAGGACCACCACCACCACCAGTACCCGAGAGGCATTGCTCTAGGTGTTAAATATCCATTGTCCCATATAGTCCTCACAGCAACTCTTTGAGAAAGGCTCACATTACAGTTTCCATTACACAGCCGTGAGACTATGTGGTAGAGCAAAGAAGAGTGTCATAGCCTGGGTTCAAACTTCAGTCTCTTGGATTCTAAAGACTATTCTGTACTATCTCTGACTTGTCAAAAACAGTAAGAAGCTCCCCTGTGAACATTGCCTTGCAAGTCCCTCCATTCCTGCCCTAGCTCACCTAGTTCAGTACTTTCTCCATGGTGCCATGTTGTTTCAGGCTGTCTCAACCCCACTTAAGCCAGTAAGACTTCGTCACTTTTAGCTACCGTCTAAATCAGAGGTGGGTAATTGATAACCTGTGGGTCAAAGTGGGCCTGCCCTCTGTTTTTCTGTGGCTCATGAACTGAGATTATTTCTTACCTTTTACATGAAAAAAAAAATCAAAAGAAGAATATTTTGGGACATGCGACCATGATACAAAATTCAAATTTCAGTGGCAAAAATAGGGTTTTGCTGGAAAACAGCCATGCTTGTTGCATTTTGTCCTTGGCACCTTTCCTACAACTGTGACAGTTGAGTAGTCACAGCAGAGACTTATGGCCCATAAAGCCTAAAGTATTTATTACTGGGTCTTAAGCAAAAAACTACTGACCTCTGGGCAAATTCTAAGGGACATCTTTGTTTGAAGAGGAGTCCAAGGCTTTCATTATACACAGCACAGAAGACACAGGAGCACAGGCTCAAGTTTGGATTCCAGCTCTGCCGTCCAGGAGCCACAGGGCTGACAGCATCCGAGTTATTGAACTTTTGGGCTCTTTGGTTTGTCTCATGTGAAAAATGGAGCAATAATACCAAACTTGCAGTTCTGTTGTGAACTTTTAATAAAGTATTTTGTGTAGAGCTTCAGACAAATGGTACAGGCCCTTCCGTAAATGGAATGCACCTGCCTGTTGGTGGTGCTTTCCTCTTGCTTTGCCGTTAATATTAACATGGGCAGATGGCTGGGAATTAGGAACCTCTCGTGATAGCTGGCATGTATATAAAATGAGAGTGCTGCAAGGTAGATGGAATGATAGGATAAATTGTACATGGTAAGAGGTAACAGTTGCTTTCCCCTGGGTGAATCTGACTATGAAGCTGTGATTTGGTGATGGATTAAGCTGTTGCACTCATTGAAGCCCAGCTATTCCATCCACCTCCACCTGATGTGATCATCATTAAAGTCAACACCCAAATGCAGAAGACTGCAAGGTGAATTAGAAATATGTAGTTGAACAAGCCATTTCATCTTTCCTCTGCTGGTGTTTCAGATAAGCCCCACCCAATCCTTTTAAAAACAAAAATTAAAAATTATTGTTCTTGCATTCTAACTCAACATCTGAGTTCTAGTTCACTTGACATTTTATCTGCTCTACAGTGATGAACACACTAACCTCAAAAATATCCTCAAATAATTTTTCTACACCTAACGACTAAAGCAACATTTATCTTGGTTGGTTATTTGCCAATAACCGGCAAATACTTTCTTCCCTTCCTTAGTTTTATGCAACTTTGTCCCCTAGTATATACACTGAAGGGAGGGGTTCACCCAGAGCTAGCATTTATCAAGAGTGATAAACACACGCTCTCCTACAATCTCTTTCTCAGTTGCAAAGTGCTCTTGGACAGAGACATATTTTAGTCATTTATATCTTAGTATGAATTACTTTCCAAGAACCATACTCCTGCTCCTCCCATACTATATGCACATACTCCCTGAGGTTTGGAGTTTGAGAATGAATTTTCTTCTTTTCTTTCCTCCCTTCTTTTCTTTCCTTCTTCATGTTTTCTATGCAGAATGAAAAAAATCTCTCTTCTGATAAAGAGATGTCAGAAAGTAGATGGTCTAGTGCAGAAGGGAGTTTGGGATGCATGAGTATCACCCTAAAATTAAACCTTGGTAGGGTTCGTCTGCTGTAGCAGTTGGTTGGCACTGTTAGGCTCATCCAGAAACATTGGAAGAAGTAGAGAGGTAGAAATGGGTATGTTTGTGAGGGAGCTATATTTTCTAGTATTAGCAATAATCCAACCAAACTGCTTGTGTTAAAACCATTTAGAAGTGAGAACTTGAGGTTCAGAAAGGGTTAAACAATTACTCAAAGTTGCTTAGGAGCAAGTGACTTCTTATAGGAGCTCAAGTGTGTTGACCTTCTCCTGTGTTTGTAATGACCCAATAAACCAAATTTTGCATAGGCACATTCCTCCCCATAATCAGGAATATTTGTCTCATTGGAAGCAGCGTAGCCAAAACACAGAGCTGACTAGTTATTTTCTCTGCCCCTGCAGCAGCCTCTGCGTAGGAACTGAGGACTTGAGATGACCAGGGAAAAAGTAGCAAGCATGACTAACCAAGTGTGTGACCATTTGTCCCTGAGTGACAACCTGAAATGCACCACCATGTTTGAGTGTAGTGTTGGTAATTGTGAACTGAATAGATGACTGTACTTTGCAGTCAAATAAGAGTCATCTGTAGCTTTATGGGACCAAGAGTGAAACAGGCTTCCAGAATAGTGGCTTCTCTTTAACATCCTTGGACTGAGTTTATCTACAACTTCTGAGCCTAACAACCTACTAGTACTCCGGGAAAGTAGAAATTGGACAGTCAGACTAGGGTTTGGGGGAAAGAACAGTAGACTATGAGTCAAAAGGCCTGATTTCTCATTTTGGCTGTGCCTTGACTCATCATAAGAGATTGGACAAAGCTCTTGAACCTCTGGACCCCAGAATCCTCATTTGTAAAATGAAGAGATAGAATGAAATGATGTCTAAGATCTTGTCCTACTCTCAGAGTCTATGGACTTCCTATTAAAATAGTTCAGTGACATTTTAAAGTTGTGAATCACATTTTCCCAGCTGTATGAAAGATGATGCAGTATTTTTTCCTGCTCACTCCCCCCTCTCCTTTTCTCTCTCTCTTTCTTCACACCCCTTCCCCTCTCCTCTAACTCTGTTTCCCCGGGAAGCAGAAACTCAGTTCAGGGGTTATCTGCTGGAGCCTCCAAAGCGACAGTGACTCGTGCCTTCTTGAAATTCAGTGTCTTTAGGAGACACGTTGTATATGCCACTTAAATCATGACTGTCTTTCTGCCTCTAATTCCAGGTCTTCAAAGTTTCTAGGTTTTCTTAGTTTTACTTTTCTGGTTCTACCAAAGACAGTTTGGAACCCAAGAGCAAATGTGTTGAAAAGACTCAAATATCTCCTTTTTGCCTTTGGATTGAGCTTTCCACACTGCTCTTTCCTGGCAGCTGCTCAGACAAAATCTTTCTAAGATCCTGGGAGAGCTGCAAGTAGGGGTGTTAGGCTGGGGGAGTCTGTTTTACTCAAGCCCTTGGTCAGGGCAGAAATAATTCAGTCCACAGTTATCAGCCTAATGTGAAAATAGTAATAGCATACAACACACAGACGCCAGCCCCACCGTTGTTCCCGCTGCCTCGGATACTCACAGTTCAACGGCATTCCTGGGGAGGTCGGAGGGAATCTCTGTCACTTTGCTCTCTTGGCAGAGAAAAACCCTGTGAGAGCAGTGACAGATCTGATGGTGACATCCTGAGCTTAAGCTCAGGAATGCCAGCAAGGCGACCAGGAGCAAGGCCATACTTATTCATCCATCCACCTGCTTTCTTCCTGCATCTGCAGAGAAAAATCTCCACAGATTTCAGAAGCCTCACACAGCGCCCTTATGAGAAGAGATCTGCCAGGGTCATGTGACCCACTATGGACCTTTTTTTTTTTTTTTTTTTCCCCGGTCACTTCCAGACAAAGAGCAAAATTCCTGCGTGTCATTAATGATTTCCAGGGCAAGATAAGGTACTCCCTTATCCTTCTCTGTTGGATTTCTTGTACGCTGACCCAAGGGAGAGAGGAAATAGAACCTTAATGCATGTCTGGAATAGTTTACATTAATTATACTATAGAAGTGTCCCTGCTGATCACTAGTCTCTCTTCAAGAAAGTGATATGATTGACTTTCTCCAAAACAGACATGACCTACGACGTGAAACATCAGTAAGAGTGTCACTCAGTGAGGGACAGAGACTCGTCTCCAGTCTTGGCATCAACATCTTCCTCCAGCCCACTTGGTATAAAACCATAATTTCTGGATAGTAGTCATGATTCCTCTTTCTTGCTATAATTAATAACCAAAAATGGTGTTGCTTAGAAGGGGTGGGCTAGTGAGTGCTGGGCAGATATCCCAGGGAGAAGGCACCTCTGAAAGGGTGTCCAAAGAGATAATGGACTTATCTGAGTGATTTGAGGAACAGGCGGTATTTTCACTGTGGATTTTGTGGACACTCCACCCTCCGTTGTGGATCCTTCTGGCTTCTCTCATGTTCAGGCTCAGAAGATTGCCCTTGCCTTTGAGACATTGGCATGAATGAATTTCTTTCATTTTATTTTTCTTTTGAAAATCTATGCTTTTAAGTTAATTAAAAATGGCCCCTCTAGGTGACAGTCCTGGCATTTTGACGGGCATTCTTGATCTTCTTGATGGTGCGGGATCTGGCAACATTTGGTAACACTTTCCGGAAAGTGGCCTTCTACTTCCAACTCTAGAATATATAAAGATTAAAAGGCAGAATATTTTCTAAGATATTACCTACAATTTATTACTTGCTAAAATTAGTTTCAGCACTATCTTTAAGTAATTAGTTTCATAAAATTGAGTTAGGTGGAAATACTAAACATATATTTTTCCATCTCCTCCTTCCACCTACCTCACCAAGGAGTAAAGACTTACAATGAAAGGATTAAATTATCTTTAAGAGGGAAACAGAAGAAGCACGCTATTTTTAGGATGAAACTATTCCCTACTTTCCTCTGGGAGCAACTGATTCATTCTAATTCCAGTATTAGAAGATCAGGGCAGTATTTATATGGACTCTCTATGGTTCCAATTTTGGCTAAGGTGAATAGTTAAATTATTTCACTCAACAGTTGATCTACAGAATAAGATAGTCTTTCAGATGTGGAAGGGATTTAATATAATCAGTCAACTAATGCTTTGGTTCACTCTAAAATATTCACAGCAATTTAAAGGGATTTACCTCCCTATGCTTGATTAATTCCAATGATAAAAAAAAAACCAAAAAAACAAAACCCCAAACTCATTACCAGTAGAAACTCCCACCTATAACCCTCCCCACAAATCCCCACTTAGACCTGTAGAACTCCAATTGTATTTAGATTAGACCATCTATAATGAGCACAAATCTTTTTAAAATGGAAAGTTTGATTCTAAAATTACATCATGTTCACAACTTATAACATATTATAACATATTTAAATAAAATAAATGTAACTTATTAAGCAAAGTGAATAGTTGTGGCGTGAAGAAATGGGACATAACCAATGCCACCGCCTCTATTTAGTTGCTTCTTCCAATTTCCTCTGATGTTCCTTCGCCCAGAAGTGATCACTAAAGTGAATGTTGTGATTTAAAATTTTTAAAAATTTTATCATCAAACTATGACTCTCCAAATAATATGTTGCATGATTTTGCCTTTTTTCTGATTTTATACAAAGCTTATCAGTCTTCAAGTAGTCTTTTTTACTTGTTATTTTACCCTAACTTGATATTTTTTCTTTTCCTTTTTTAATATTTTTTAAACTTAAATCCAATTAATTAACATATAGTGTATTATTAGTTTCAAAGGTAGAGTTCAGTGATTCATCAGTCTTACATAATACCCAGTGCTCATTACATTATGTGCCCTCCTTAATGTCCATCACCTGGGTATGCCATCGCTCGCAGCCCCTTCCCCTCCAGCAAACTTCTGTTTGTTTCCTATGATTAAGAGTGTCTTACAGTTTGTCTCCCTCTCTGATTTCATCTTGTTTCATTTTTTCCTCCCTTCCCCTATGATCCTCTGTTTTGTTCTAACTTGACATTTTTAAGAACCACGCATTTATTATGTTACAGGTAGACGTAGTTAATTAATTTTCATTACTGTATAATACCCCATTGTGTAAATATGCTATAATTTATGTCTTCATTCTCATGTGATCCATCTTTATGCTGAGCTCAGGAAAATATTCTCCTTTTTTTTTCCCCTTAAAAATTTTATAGTTTGGTTCTGCACATTTAAGACTTTAATCTGTTTGACAGTGATAATTATATGTAGTGTGAATCAGGAACTCAATTTCAGTGTTATCCAGTTACTTAGAATTTTTATCCACATGAATAAACAATTATCTCAGAACCATTTAGTGAATAGACACTTTCCTCCTCATCTGTAAAAACTATTTTTCTCTTATCTTAGTAACTGTTTTGCATGGGTTTTTGTTTGAGCTCTTTTATCATCCATTGTCCTTTTTATCTGCTGCCAGTGCTATATTAGAGCAGTGAAATTATGCCAGTGAAATTTAAGTCTTGGTATATGATATAGTATAAGAAAATACCTTTCTCTTATTTCTTATAGTAGTATCTTGCCTATTTTGGACCTTGGTTATTCCATATGAATTTTCGAATCAGCTTGTTAAACTTCTTGAAAAAAACTGGGATAGAATTTTGTTTGGAATTACATTGATTATACAGATTAATTTTGAGAAAAAAATGTCACCTTGAAGATACTAATTCTTCCTATTCCTAATTGTGGTATATCACCATCTTTCTAAGGCCTTCTTTGATGTCTTTCAATAAAGTTTGATACTTTCTCCATAAAGGTCTTAATCTCTTAAATTTATTTCTAAATATCATTTACATTTTTTTGCTATTGTAAATAACATCAATATTTAAAATAACACTATGTTGGTTATCACATGGTAAAAATGCAATTGATTTTGGAATATTTACCTTATAATATTTATCTTATACCTAATTGCCTTATTACATTTCTATATAGAATATCATTTACATCTAAACAATCACATATATACAATATATATATTATGTATGTAATATGTATATATGAGTCTGTTTCTTCTTAAGTCATTCTTTCCTTCCTCCCTGTTCTTGTTTCTCTCTCTTCTTCTCTCTACTTTCTTCTCTCTCCTTCCTTCCCTGTTCCTTTTCCTCTCCATCTCTCTTTTGTTCCCCCTCTCCTTTTCTTTTTCTTCTCTGGTTATGATACCGAGGGCAATGATGATTAGAAGTGTAAGGCATTCTTGTCATGTTCCTGCTTTTAAAGAAAATATTTTCTTATTGTTCACTGCTCAGATGATTTTTGTTATAGGCTTTTGGGGAATACCAGGATAGATACAAGGTTAAGTATCTTAGAAAATTTTCTAAGAATTTCTGTCTTCGTATTGATGGAGATCAATATTGTTGAATGCCTTTCTCTCCATTTGTTTTCCATCCCAACCTATTAATTTGTTGAGTTCTGATGATAATTTTATACTTAAACCACTGATATTCTTAGGAATAACAAAATTGGTTATGAGTAATTGTCACTTTTATACACTGACTTGATTTGCAGTCATTTCATTTAGGATTTTGGCATCTAGGCTAAATTTAGTAGTTTAGTAATGAATAATTTTTAGTGAGCTATGTGATTTCTCACATGTGTTGGCCCTATGTGGTTTGGTATCAAGGGTGTATTTGTCTCATAGATTAAGCTGATCTCTGTTATTTTGTTCTTAGGGAAAAAAAAAAGTTACAGGTTGGAATAATCTATTCCTTCTAAGTGTGGCTTTACTTGGTCTGTAAGACCATCTAAGCCTGGTTTTATATTTTGTGTGTATTTAAAGATATGAATTCAATTTTTTTTTAATTGTTACTGGACTATTTGGGCTTCTTTTTTCTTAAACCTTTTTATACTTTTTTAGAAATTTTCTATGTAATTTGTTTTAAAATTTATTATCATAAAAATTTTAGTTTTCTCTGAAATATTTTTAAAACAATTTTATTTCTGTCCATTTATTTTTATTGAAGTACAATTGACACACAACTTTACATTAGTTTCAGGTGTAGGACATAATTCAACAACTCTATGTTATGCTATGCTCACCATAGTTGTAGCTATCATTTTTTACCATTCAATGCTATTATAATATGATTGACTTTATTCCCTATTTTGTACCTTTCATCCTTAGGACTTACTCATTCTATCATAACTAGATAACATATCATCATAAGTAGAAACTTGTACCTCCCACTCGCCTTCACCTATTTTTGCCATTCTCCCATCCCCTCCCCTCTGTTAGCCATCAGATTGTTCTCTGCATTCCTGAATCTTTTAACATTTTTGGTTTGTTCCTTCATTTGGTTTTTAGATTCCACATGTGAGTGAAATCACACGGTATTTGTCTTTCTCTATCTGATTATTTAACTTAGTACAATACCCTCTAGATCCACCCATGTTGTCAGAAATGGTAGGATCTCATTCTTTTTTATGGTTGATTAATTTCCATTATATGTATATACCACATTTCTTTATCCATCATCTATTGATGGACATTTGGGTAGCTTCCATATATTGGCTATTGTAAATAATGCTAAAATAAAATAGGAGTACATTTATCTTTTTTAATTAGTGCTTTTGATTTCTTTGGAAAAATTCCTGGTAATAGGAATATAGGATGATATGATATTTCTATTTTTATTTTTTTGAGGAATCTCTGTAGTGTTTTTTTTTTTTTTTACAGTGGTTGAACCAATTTACGTTCCTACCAACAGTACAAGAGGGTACCTTTTTTACCACATCTTTGCCAACACTTGTTAGCTCTTATCTTTTTG